ATATGTATAAATGTAAGCACGCATCGTTACCATGGAAACCACATACAGCGCCGGCGCAATAGCGTCTGCGGGCTAGCTAACATCAGAGGATTTCGGGCGGAGGATAGAGAGCCCGTCGGCCGCGCTTTTACGCGCGCTTCATGCATGCGTATAACTGATTCCCTTTATTTTTAAGTAAATAATTCGGAAATTATGTAATTTTTGAAAACAATATTTGTGGTAAATGACTAAATATTTATAAAATGTGAAATATGCGTTACGACGTGATCTAGTGTTTCTTGTAGGGAGGGCGGCGCCCCAGAGCCCCCCTGCACGAGCCGCCACTGTCTACTACATCTCATAATGAAACCCAACGTTCTGTTTGCTGATGAAACCAGTTTACATATATGTTTATTAAAAGATATTATAGATAGATAGATTATAGATAACGAATGTCGGTCTGGCCATGTGCAATACTTGTTTTACCTGTCGGATCGGCAAAACCAATTTATCTGATTTGTCATTAGCCTTACTTTCATTCGAGGTGCCTGCATACAACATTTCATTTACATACCGTACCAGATAAAAAAATCTGATTGCGCATGCGCAAAACAAATTTTTTGATTCCGCATAAATTTTACTTTTATTTATCTTTCATTTGCCTACATACATCATTTCGTTTAAGTATTTTACCAAATAAAAAAATTGTATTGCGCAAATACAAAAGTGATCGTGCACAACTGCACACGGACAGACAGACGGGCAGACAGACAGCAATACAAAATTATAAACGATCTCGTGGAGCGTTAATAAACGGCAAAAGTGTAAAATTATGATAGATTGAAAAAGATTTTTTACTATAACTTTTTCGTAAGCGGCACAAAAAATACCTTCCTCAGTGCAAGCCTCGACACCAGAACGAACCAAATAGCGAAAAAAGTAGAACAATAGGTCTTAAGATAAAGAACAAGTGATGAGCGAACGGCTGTGGAGACGGACAAAGTGGCCACAATAGCGCATTTTTTAAACTTTTGTGGAAATGCGCTAGTAAGTGGAGGGAGACCCAACAGAACTTCAATCACGGCCGTAGCGGAGTCCACATGACAGCTCAGAGCTGCAGGCGACTGCTAGCGACACTGCCAATCGATCCTTTTTGCACCCCCCCCCCCCCACCCTTTTTCGGTACTAGAGCGGCAGATAATTCGTATATGCCGTCCAGCTTCGTTCTACGAATGTCCCTTACATCCCGAGGAAGTAACTTTTTTGCAGCGGTGAATGCGCTCACTCGCTCTCGTTCATATGTGCTTCACATGTGCCCGGTAACCCACCACAAGCGTATAAAAAGGCACGTGCGTAGATAGGGGTGAACCACGGAGGTGGCGCACCGAATGAGCCGCCGAGACCCCCGGACATGGTCATCCGTCAAGCCAACGACGAGTTGGTCGTCTGCGATGTCTATTGAGAGGGTTCGCATACCCAGACCGAAGAGACTCAAGTAAGACCAACCAAAGTTCCGAGAAGCGGCGAAGAGGAGGCGGCCAAGCAAGAGACTCATCTTCCTTTCACTAACTGTACGCGCTGAATACTTACTTTTACTACGTAAAATTTGTAAAAATCTGTACAATTCTTTACATTTCACTACGGTTCAGGTTGAGACACCAAGATGGTTACACTAGTCCTTGTTTCCTGGCTTTCTTTGCCGCGAATGATTCAACCAAATCATTAATGGTCGATAGTTTGGGCTATATTCCTTGTCCGGCGGAAATTGAAGTTAGTCCTACTAATATTATTCTCTCTTAGGCCATAGATGACCGGATATACGCCTTACTTAGGTTAACCGGCTTTATGGTTCACTGGTAGAGCATTGGGCTATAAATCCGGAGGTCGGGTGTTCGAACCTGGGTCGAGGTGAATTTTTCATCTGTGACAGAGATGGAAATTACCTTAGACCAGTTTCGAGCATTCTGCCGGCTTCTCCGAATTAGGTTTTCCTGCAGTTTTCCTAATTCGTAAGGTAAATACCGGAGTAGTAGAAAACAACTTAAGACCTTCTGCAGAGGCACCTCTAAAAAGCATTATGCGGATCACTCTGGAATTGGGCGCAAGTCTGTTGAGGGCCCAGAACAAGAGAGGGCTAATAAATAAATAAGCTTTGAAAATATTGATTCCCCTGAAGCATCCAATACAGGCAACGATAGAAGGATGCGCACAACTTTACTCCAGCATTGTCTTTACACTGATTGCACCCAGGGTTGTTGTGTCGAAGGCATCTTCTTTCACACTATTATCATAACAAATATTAATAGACCAAGCGTCGAAAGACTTGACGGTGCCATTTGATCTATTGACCAATGACCATAAATTCGACAGGGTTTATCCAAAAGCTACAAACTTCCAAGTCTCTAGCTCGATCCATACATTCAAGAGTTATCGTACGGATGGACAAATATTCGATTTCAAGAACTACACCACTACCAATAGGTTTATTGTTTGTTATGTCAGAATGGAACTAACCGACAGTAATATGCAGCGGAAGGAAAGTGCAAGTAACATTTTCATTAGCGCTCGTGCGGATATACTTTCCGAGATATAAGGCGTATTTGTAAGTCAAATGGTTTCATTTTAGCTTTGTAATATTAACTTTCTTTGAAAATTGTTCAGATTATGAGCTATAAGCAATTTTCCCATAAAACATTCTGAAAAACGCCAGAATCGTTGCGTATGAGTCCGGATGTGATTTTTTTGCCATAAAGCTTTCAGTTGAACTAAATAACGTCCACGTGTAGAGGAAGAAGAACGGGAAATCCAATTTTAAGTTCCCTCAAAGAAGCCTTAAGATATATCATATCGCGACCCATCAGACCCACCTATATTTCTCAATGCATTCACGCAGTACATACATATATGCGATGGTTATCTTTGGAAGTTGCGATGGTTATCTTTGGAAGTCAACTTTGTTTTTGTAATACTTTTGAGTGAGAAAACCCAAACTATTGCACTGTGATTAAGCACAATAGGTCACAGGTTATGGACCGGTGTGTCCGCCATGTTGTATCCGAGACAGAAAGAATGGACGTAAAAAAACTGTTAAGAACATACGGGCAACTAACAAAATTTTGCATTGCGCCTTAAGTCAGTAATTGCATAGATAGACAACTAATCTATTGTAACAAATTAGGTTCATCGACATTTAAAGTCCTACACACTATAAAATAAATACCTTTTCCTGGACTCCTGGTTATAAATATCGACTATAATAAAACTATTTGTAAAAATATAGTTCACATTTCCTATTTACAAAGTAGCGTGAGTTTTGCGAGCAGTCAATTTATCAATAACGTCAAAAAGTCTTAATGTCCGGCCGTCCATTCCGCCAGGAAACTCAAAAACGCTTTGACATATAAATCTCAAATTTGGTACACGTGATACACAATTTCTAATTCGGGCTGAAAACTGAATCAAGAAAAACGTTGGTATTTTTCAACAAAAAAAGGACAAGAGCTCTGTTTCGTCGCGTAGGACAGTATAAAATAATCAGATAAAAAGATGAAGTGCGTCTCACGACGTCTACATAACGACCCTTAACTTACTAACTAACTAAAATTCGCCACATGCAGCACTCGACCGCGAAGGGGCGGGTCAGGTCCGTGTAGGGAGAGTCGCCCTTCTTTCCTTAATATTTCTAAATTAATACATGTAAATACGTGAGATTGGGTAATGTACAAGGAAATGAGTTATTTACTCTATGGTACAGGTAAAGAGGTATGCGAGTTGCCTATAAATAAAACTTTGGTGTAAACCCATATCTGCAATAACTCCGCTTCGCAGACATAGCACCCCATTTGGAGCTATGGATCGCCACTTAAGTATTATAAGAGGTTTAACTCAGTTTAACACATTAAATAAGTCACTACAATTCATGACCTCGTTTATCGAATTTTATTACGTCTGTGTTCATAGGTTACACAGCATATTTGAATCTGAGAAATTACTTTTAAATTCAATGAACATTGTGTGTTGCCTATACACTGTTCTGTAAGGTCGTTGCTTTTTATTTCAATATGAAGTATATTTGGTTGCATAACAGTCTAGTAACCATTGCAACTTTTAGCGCACAAATCATTGTAATAGTAAATACACAGATAACAAATCCTTAAAAGGGTATGTATCTAATAGCTGTCAGTAACAATAACAATGTACGTATTCCTCCCCTTGTATAAGAGGTAAAACTTTTCCCAAAACATGATTTCATAATGGGATGCTATTGCTTAATAACCCAATATCTATTTCTGAACAATGCTCCGACTAAAGTTCCGCATCAATGTTAATTAATAAAATTTGTTAAAATAAGGGATTGATTATCTAAAGGTTGGATAGTAAAGCTATTAGCGCTTACATGACTGATGTGCTATTACTTAGCAACAATGCGATGCGATTTCAGTACGCCGTGTATGATGTCTTGCCTACCAACTTGCATAATATCACAGATTTAAATATAATCTGTGATAATATATAACTAAATTATTATAATCTGCAAATGTACCCATAGCAAATTGCAATACCTAATCCGTCACTCTTCATTAGTTTTTATAGTGGAAGTATGATGCGATATTGCAAAAGTGGTTTAGATTTGCCGCATCAATTTACATTAATATACTTAATTATCACGTTGTGCAAGTAATAATGTGCAAAGGTTTGAATTACCATCACTACTGAGGTACAGAAACCAACTCGTAACAGACAACAAACATGACACAAGTCACGTACATGAAAGCTAGAATATTATAAGATTCAAAGCATTGTTAGTAAATAATATGATTTTTGGTAAACAAAAAACGCTTATCTACCTTGCAGCGAGTTGGAAGATCACATTAATTTCATTGGACGATATGTTAAACAAATGTTTAGCAATTGTAAAACGTCACTTTTTAATCACTGAGAAAATAGCTCCAATAAATCGTCCTACGATAATGAGAATTTAAAAACAGGAAATAATAAAATAGACGCGTTAATTTACTTACGATGTAATGTATGTTGAGGATTGTCAATTATTCGAATTTGTCGATCTGGAATGAGAGGTTCACCTTCACTTCCACCAATATCTGCAGGCAATTGCCACCGCGCAGCATCTTCCTCCAGTTTGGAACGTGGAAAATATAATGGCAGTAAAATTTCGTATATTCCTAAATCAGAATTACCAACGTTAAAAATGACGGTATCTAATGAACTTCCGTATTGTTCTAAAAATCTTCTAACAGTACCTGGAAAAATACTTACAATTACAAACACTGAAGTGCTAATAAAGTAGGTAGTTGTGGCATAATGCACGTAAATACGTTAATGGGATTGGCTTCTAACCAATAGCGGCATGATTGTACAGCTTTTTATTGGTTTCCTCTGATAAAGAGTTTGCACACAATTGAGCTTTTACAATTTAAAATTTGGGCTAAACAATCTGCAACAATAGTCGGAAGGATTTAGTAACCATGACGAATACAAACGAGCTGATAGTATGTATGTATTATCGGATAAATTTTAGTACTGTTTTCAAACACGACCAACCCTATTACTAAATTATGTTAAAATTAAAATGGTGTCACTTACGTAATGCTATGTGTGCGCCTTCGTCTGGGGGATAATTTCTTTTCACTGAATTTATAACGCACAGAGCTATTGAATGTAGGCCCATCTCTAGGGACTTTTGGAGAATGTTTCTGAAAAACAAAGAGTAAGTACTTAATAAACACGATTCTATTGTTTCTATTCATATACAGATGATAATCACCAAAATTGCGAGTAAACAGTAGAAACACTAGGTTATTATCCCTAACTTATCACGTTATATTAAAATTGACTCAATTTAATATTGATCAGTCAGATCAAGCATTATTCAGCATAAAGTTTATTTAAAAAACATTGGAAATGTGAAAATGATCTGCAGCAATCGTAGATGCGCGATAGCTTAAATAAATTAGTGGTTTCTGATACAACACATCAGACAAAGGGGAGGGTTGTAAAGTGATTGTCAGTTAAGTAACAACAATGAAATGGGAAAAAACCTGGACCACAATTTCACAAACAATCATTCAACCAACAAAAGAAAAACAAATAAATCCCTTTCTCCTTGCTTTAGTGGTGAATTTCGTAATTCCATTAAAAAAAACTGAGATCTTTACCGCTACAAGGCCGTGACTTTATGATTGGTAATCCTTTTTTTATGCAGTATGTATATTAGTGCTACCCTTCAAACCAATGTTTACGTCCTCGGCTTAATTTGATAAACACAACTATATTTTAAACTAATATTTAGAGAACGAAAACTTTAATTTCCTACCCTTGCCCTACCAAACAGGGCACGCTCAGTTTTCTTTTCTTACTTCCCATATCCCCTAATGGGACCGATCTAGCCAAAGATCGAAACTATTCCAGATTGTGGATCCACCATTCAAAATTAGCTGTAGGTAGGTAATTGTATAACAGAATTTAACAAGATACGAAAAATCGCATTCGATTTTCAGTAGGGGAATTTTTTGACACTCTCGGAAACACATCTGACACATATTCAATAGCACTGATCCTTGAACGGGTTGAACTTGCAGAAATGGGTTGGCGAAGGTTTGACATCGTTCTCAAGTAATGGACGAATAGACGGACGGACAAAAACATCACATAAAGGGAATTTCTTTCGCAAAAGTTCCTCTAAAAAGTCGCATGGTACACACCCTTAATGAGAAACCCCAAGTCAGAAATGATTTTATTATATCTACAGTTTTCCAAAAATCGATTCACAAATATAGTGCTAATATATAGCTATTTGATAAGTTGCGAAATCCCCTTAATCTAAAATTGCATAAATTTAAATTTCAAGGATCAATTGGTAACGATAATCTTAAAGTACTGTAAGACACTTTTTAAACTTTTTTTGAAAATCTATAAAAAGGCGAAACTTTAAATTGATGTAGGTATCTCCTAAACTATAGATGCGAGGGGACTCAATAAAAATACATAATTTAACCTAAGCATTGCCGTTGGTGAGATATTTTAGAAAAAAATTGATTTCTTTCGTTGATTTTTGACCATAAAAATTTCTCCCGACATTAGTCCCATTGGTTTTTTCTCTCTCATTCCACTATTCAAATAAGTCGAAAAAATAAAATCTTCTACCAGACCTCTTGCAACCATTTAGAATTTTTACTTATAATTTGACTGTATTAAAAGTCTTATAAACATCCTTTGATTTTCAAACAAGAAGTTCAGTCCCGGATTATTAAAATGCTAAATTCAAACATAATCAAACATCCCGAAAAAAATTTTTCAATGGAACCAGAGGACAGAGAAAAAACTTCAATTAGCACAGATAACGGAAATTACGAATTTCTTAAGATGCCCTTTGACTTATAGTCCCGCCGTTGTTCAACGCCATTTCATTAAACATTTTGCAAAATTTAATAAACCATTCATATGATGTTTGAAAAAGGTGCTAAAACTAAAGTTAATGGCGAACATGCAAAATGAGCAAAAATATCCGTATGAACAAATAGATACACCTCTTCTTCAATACCCAAAACCTTCAAAACCTTTTAATTTGACAACAGACGCAGGTGACCACAGCGTTGTGTGCAATTCTATCACCCAATGTGTAGATTTACCAATAGCATACGCTTCAAGAACGATAAACGACTCGGAACTAAAATATTCAGTATTCCAAAAAGAATTTTTAGTCCTAGTATTAGTGAAAAAATATTATATTTCAGGAAAAGCAAAAATGACACCAACCACACACTCATCTTTTACTATGTGTTAAATTCCACAATTTCCCAAAATTTAAAGAATTCAAACGAATAACTTTTTATATAATTCTAGTTGGCAAAGACCTCCAATAAAACTGATCGTTATACGGTTTCTTTTTGCGCATAAAGAAAAGCCGGAATTGCTCCGGCCTAGCTCAGGGAATGTACCAGCGCAGCACAGGGGAAAGCGATGGGAACTCAGGGATATTGCGTAGGTTCTGATTGACTGGATTAATTGCGCCACTACGTTTGAAAGCGGAAGCAGGAAACGTAGAACCTGTGTGAGAACAAAAAAAAACACCTGAAAAGAAAAACAAAGAAAAACAAAACACTACAAATTAGGGGTTGAGAACTGATCGTTTATTTATGGTTGTATATAGTTAGATAAGTAATACGGTAAGGGGGTAGCGCGAGGCTCCCAAAATATTGAAATTAATAAAATAATAATGAAATAGTTTTCTTTGATTACAGATAAATTTGACACGCAGTCGCAAGGTCCACCTAGAACGCTGCTTTAGGTTCTTTTCATAAAAATTAAATGTTAAGGCAATTAGTGCCGGGGATAAAATCAAGGCCTTGCTTTTAAAGGGCTACTAAATCAAATACCTGACCTGGGGTATACTATGGTACGAATAAACACACAAAAAACAATGGCTAGCTTGATAACTGCTTTACAGATTATTGAAATAGTAGGTCTTATGCACAGTAGGTACTAGCGCCAGAAATAGTTCATAAATACTGACACCTGAAGGGTTGTCAAAATGTCAAATATCAAAACCCCATTAAATATTCAAGTTCAAGTAAACAAATATCGTTTACACATAAAAACAAGTGACCAGTTCTATTGTATTTTTGTCGCAAACAGAATATCGGTAAATACTCAGATTATGGTGGATAAAAATAATTATGTCGGGAACAATTATAGGACAGAAAAAAAAAGGAAATACAGGACGGAATCAGGAAAGAAGGAACACAAAATAGGTTAACCAAGGATATCTACGTCGAGGGTGGCTTCTGGAGTGAGTCGCATACAATAGTTTCATAAACATTGAACAGCTGACCTTTCAGTTGATTGGTGGCAGGCAGCGTACCGCTTCCACCGGATTGTCTGAAGCTCGGCGTAGAAAACGATGGTGACAGGAACAAGAACGATACCGCAACGACTGTGTCGACAAAGTTGGAATCCGGAACTCAGGATAACTGTCCAGGCATCAAGCTGATGGTGGCTGTGATATGTCCGCACCAGGGGGTGGCGGAATGACTTTCCACGATTTACGTTACCGTCTGATATATTATGTATAGATGTTACACCAAAAAGAACAAGAAAAGGAAAAGGCTCTAACGGCGTTAAACGAGCCAAAGTAATGATCGGTGTCACATGTGCTTCCAGATCCGCTGGGCGAAAACCCAAAATATTCCCAAGGGAAATAATAGAACACCCTTCTGGTAATAAATTTAGGTAATGGAATCTTCAAAGTAAGTAGATCCTTCCAAATTTAAAGGCTTAAAATTTTCTCACAAAATGAAGATGTAGCAAATGCACACGACAACCTCTTGTTCAAAAGTGACCGGAAAAGAAAAGATAAGAAGCGAAGGAATTTTATCAAAACCAAGGACGACTGGACAGAAGAGTGGACAACACGAGCATAGGCAACACACAATACTTACGGAAGAAACATAAGGAACGAAACAAACTGTTATACGGCCCCCCCTTCCAAACGGAGGAACAATGAAAGTGACGACAAGTGAAGCTTGGGCAACAAATTAAAAAAAAAACCTTAACGGACATCTCCCCACAGCATTGAATCCATCCGTTACTGACCAGTGTTCCCATCGATCCTGCAAACACCCACATTCATCCATTTATTCAACCTAGCATCCATCACACATTCAAAGACACTGGGCAGGAACAAAGGAACCCAATAACTGTCTCCCCTCCCCAGATAAAAACCTAAAGACCCTCCCCAAAAACCCACAAAACTCCCTTCCCCTGTAGTTAGCTGACAGACGTACTACGAAAGAAACCCACCCGAAGGGAAAGAAATGTGAAAAGAATAAGAATGAAGGGCTCAGATGGAGGAGCAGGAAATTGTAACCGAAAAGAACAAAAGCAGTGGATACAATCCCTAAAATGGACCGTCCAGCGTCCCCTGCCTACCAACCCAATGAATGCTCGAACAATTTTAAAAGCACAATGTTTAATAACTAATAAGGAAAGAATAGAAGCCAAAATAAATGAATTGGCTAAAAGAGGACTAATTAATGGCTTCTTCGATTTTTAAATGCTTTTTGGACAACCTTGTTGTAAACGACGACGAAATATAAAGAAGAATAAAGACATACTATAGGCCTGTGTGACATCCTACATCAACGATCACTGATAAGCGAAATTTAGAAATGCAAATACAGGGCGTTTCAAAAAGAATCATCCGATTTTAAAAATTTATTGCTATTCATCTATAAGTCCGATTTGATAGAACAATGTACTGTTAGTAAGAGGAAGCTCTCGAGTTTCGCGTGGTTTCCGCTAGGTAGCAGTAGTTATCCTTTAATATAAAATTAACCTCATGTCCATATTATTATTAGTATTGAAATTATAAACCTACAAAATCGGATGATTCTTTTTGAAACGCCCTGTATATAAAATTAAAAAAAAAAGGTTTGGATGTAAATAAGTAAATTATAATTTTTAAAGCTGTAAAATATGATGATGAAAGATTTTATATGCATAATTGCGGTTAACGAAATATGTCTCACATCTACGTATCCATGTTGTATGAACTTTTGTTCTTTTGGCGTCAAGATTGCGGGAGTATAGATCAAAATTCAGTGTTTTTTAATGTTAGATATTATGTTACATTAGTTAGCCCATCATCAAATAAAGCAACCGTGGAAACTGCTGATCCCGTTGTTTTTGTAATTGATTAACGACTTACAACCATCTAGGATTCGTAGTAAGTACGACACTAACCAATAAAAAATACATTGCAAGTTTGAAAATAATTGGGCAATGTTTTCATTGCGAAATTAACTAAAACCGTATCAAGTATCGAAACTCTAACTAAAACCAGTGGATATTTAGTATAAAATCAGATCGACCTTATTGTTATAGACGTAATTATAACCGCAATATGGTGCAAGTGCTTACTGAGGATCAAATCGTAAACGTAAAGTACGAAGTGTGTGGTGTAAGGACTGGTTAAAAACGAGACAAGTATTTTCATCTCTTTTTAGCGCAACCTACGAAAGGGAAGCGCTTATGTCAAAATCGTTATTTATGCATCAATTTTGTTTAGCGAATGAATGCCTAAGAAATGATCCATCATATGCATTTTTTATGCCCAAAAGATTTTTGTATCAATTTTCTTGGGAAAAAGACCAAACTTGATTGCTCGATGCCCAAGAAATGGTATATGTGTATTTTTTGCGACAAAAGTATTTTCACCCAGAAGATGCCAAAATCTATATTTATGCACGCTCAGACTATCAACGTATCGACTCCTATGTGAGTGGGTTGCGCTGGCAATATCCAGGTAGTAGAATGGTAGTGAGTTTGGTCAAAGAATAATTATTAGTTACCCTTTGGTTTGGTTTACTTGTTTAACCTCTTCTTTGCTTCTTTATGCTATCATTTACAAATTTCTGTATGGTTTACGTAGTAATAATCACTAATAACAATTTTTACAATAACAAAATATACCAACAGAACGAACAATATAACAACAACAACGAACACAACAATATAACAATATCGATTTTATTCGAGATCATTTAAGGGAACATCTATTAAAAATTTCAACCAAATCGACTGGGTAGTTTCGGTTGAACCTTGGTTACGCACATACACGCATACACACTTTTTGGACTCCTGGGACCTTGAGACGTAAAGATTCGGGAAAATTTCAAAATCGAAATTCGGACTGAATTCGATAGCTTCTCAATTTTTTCTTGGCGAGGTTAAAAACGAATTGAAAACCTATTGAATTTGGTTCGGATGCAGAGTTAAATTTTGTTTTATGGAATTTTTTATTCCACAAGTTCAAACCAACAGTTTCCCAAATTCAAAGGTTCAGTTTATCTGTTAAAAATGTGAAATAAAAAATCTCTAAGGTGTTTATGTATGTATTCCTCTTTTAATATTATTATTTATATTCAGTATCACTCCTTCATATGTTAACAGCTGTTAACGGGTGTGTTATTTACCACAATCGGTGGTACAAAGCTATTGGATTAACTCCATTTTTTTTAGAATAAATCAATTTCACTACGCTTCATGCTTGAAAATGCTCCCCCAAATTACCATAGCGAACAAACCAACTTAGAACATGTGATTAATCAGAATCAGAAAAGGATTAGGATTTTCCCTCAAAAAGAAATTATTTCATTAAGCTGGCGACCAACAAGTAAAGAATATTAAAAGATTCTATTTATCCGAGTTGCCATCGAAATGCAATATCATCCATCAACAAGAAACTGCTAATTTCAGAAATATTGTGTTTTTCTATTCTTGCCATAGTATGTATTGAGTTTTTGTAGTCTATTGAAAATGTTTCATTTCCAAATAAAATTTGTGTAAAAATAAAGGAATATTTAACTCTTGCGAAATTCAAACGATCCTCAATTCTAATGAGTCACCAGCTGTTTATAATAAATTTAAGAAAGTACTTATGAACTAATAATCATTTATCTCCGTTTATCTGTATTCAAAATTAACTGAAAGGTACTATTTATCAAATTCTTGACCATGGGCTAAGTTGCCATAAGTTAAGTAAGATAAACAATAAAAAAGTTGTACAGGTCACTTATTTATTTATGGTATATTTGTAAATATTTGTAATGATTTTGTTTTATCAATATTGATAAATGCATCATTAATGGCATATTTTGTAAGAATTTCGCAGCTGATAGCAAAAGTAATTAAAGAAAATATTGACAATAAAAAAAGTGAAAAAAAGATATGAAATCAATAGTGAAAAGAGATGAAGCACGAAATTAAATGCGAATCACTTTCGAGTATAGGTAATGATTAAATTGTTTAGCTGTTCATTATTTGAATTGCACGCGAACAAAGTCGGAAATAAGTTTGTTTATACCTACCTATAGCACATGTGTAATGTATTTTCGGCGGCTGATTGATACTTGATGTTGTATTTCGGTCCGACGGTATGAATAATATATCGAGCGGGTAATGCATGGCCTTGTGTCACTCTCAGTTCTCCTGTTCGGCATTCTACAAACAATAAATAATTGATACTTGACCGAGTATTTACATGTCACCACTCACCTCTTATATCTAAATTTATTTCCTCCTTAAGCTCAGACCCCGCTCTTAAAAAAATTCGATCACTAATAGAATTACTTTCAGTCATGGATTCATTTGTCGAATTAACTATTGCGTCTACTTGAATTGATGATATGTCGCCCATCCTGACAAACATATCGTTTAATATCAAAATTACGGTGACTTAACGAAGAACTTACCACAAGATGATTTTTTGATTAATTTCGTCATCGTATGGAAACGGAGATGAGGCATGTTTAGGGGTTTCTCCGCTGTTACTATAATCCGTGAGATAATGAGTTGGAGGTATTTCACTCCAACGTTTTAAATCGGAAGTATTTACAATATCCGGAGCAACCCCTAAGGGTTCCTGATTCATAACGATCCTCATCAATTAACACTGTAAGAAGAAATCATGTATTAATATAATACAGCCAACATATTGTTAGAAGTTAAGGTTAAATAGTTCTTAATGTTAGATTGTAAATGCTAATAGGCAGCCTAAAGGACTGAAAACGTCAGACAAAGTTATTTTTGTAAAAAAAAGTTCGATGCCGTTGCGGCGCTCCAAAGTTTTTTTTATTATACCTGAATCACAATCTCCGTTTTAAACACTCAAATGCGTGCGAAAAAGGGCCTTTAAAACACACGTGCTTTAAAGTTGCTAAGTAACGATACTTCAAGTATGACTTTTGAAACTGTCATCTGGATGAAATAAAAAATCCTCTTAGGTCGCTTTCTGTAAATGCAGAACATTTCTTTGGCTTTTGTACCTATCCTTTGGTTGAAGCTTTCACAAACGCGCGTAATTTAGGGTATGCTTCCAAATCTGTTCCACTTTTTAATCGCAGCATTGCTTTAAAGTTTTGAATGAATGCACCAAAATATAGAAGATTTAAATACCTTTGACATTTCCTTCATATATGCCAGCATTATGGATGCATTTAAGGCTCTATTCGTAAGTAACTTCCTATTCATCCATGGAAACAACTTTTCATATTCTTTATAATAGGCTTTACTGGAGTTGGATTTTACACCTACCAACGTTTGTTTAGATTTTACAACAATCGATTTAATGGACGGTATATTATCTTTTTCAACGGAAATCATTTAATTCACAAAGACGATGATTTTTTAAGCAAACGTCAAGTGACATTTCCATGGCAATCGTGAAATTACGAACACCCAGCCCACTTAATTAGACATGTATTCGAGTATAACGTCAATATGAGTTCATTGTATTTCCTATTTTTAAATTATACTGCAGGTATAATAAGAAATACTATAAGATACACGTGTATAATTGGTCTTTAAAGCACTTGCAACGTTAAAGGCACTCCGCTTTGCGTCGTGCCCTTAAACTCGTTGCGCGTGCTTTAAAGACTTGATTATACACGTGTATCTTAATATACTATTTTGANTCCAAAGTTTTTTTTCCAAAAAGCCGGCCCGTTATTTTTCGTGGTCATCATATCCTAATATACATATCCAAAATTTGAACAAAATCCGTCGATCCGTTATCTTGGAACACGGTGATCGCAATAGCCACCTAGCTGTAGCTAGGAAGCGAAAAATAGAGAAGAGTAAAAAATATTAAGTACTGCATAGTAGGTATCGGTATCTTTACGTTTTCGTGAAGGACAAAAACTCGTTGTTCTTCAGTGCCATCTAGCCCCAATAACACTCATAAGAAAATCAGACAGTTATTATTACAGGAACGCAGTTTTGCAGACATACTGGAAAAACTGAAAATAGGCATTTTTTTAGATTTGGTGATGAAACCGAATCCCTGCAAGACAGCATTTGAAATTCGTATTCAGTCCCAGTATACAAACTCTTTAAACGTAAAAAATACATAATTAATGACTATGAATATAGCAAAATAGATAACGCCAACGAAACGATCAAAGCGGAACGTCCATACAAACAAGAAATAAAATGTAATTTGAATTTCTGTTTATTTTTGTTTGTACTTGTATTTGTATTTATAAGATAAACAAATTATTGTTTGCAAAACCAGTAAGCTTCACAGTATCTAATTTTGTACATGTATAATGATATTTTCCCACTTTACTTTACAAACACGTACCCTGGATTTCCGTTTACTTCTTAAAGATTTCTATAATTTTACTCCCAATGTCGACAAAACCTCGATACTCTTGGGTGCAAATGTGTGTAGAGTATAATATCGCAACATGCATAACGATATTATATGGTAAAACCTATTCAGCTTGAATACACCTATGTATAGACTTTTTGCAAAATCCAAATTTTCACCCTTTATTTAGAGCGGCACACACATCCTCGAGCAACTAGTTGTTACTTGACAATCATTTGCCAGGGGGTTTCAGGTGGAAAAAAAGGAAAAGGTCAACGCGTGTCATTCCTCCGACACCCCGAGGGATACTGGAGGCGGGCTGCTCAGGGATTGAGGGATTCCTCACCCTCTTCAGCCAGGGAACGGGAATGCAAGGATGGGTATAGTTAAGGATGGCAACGGAAGGAATGGAGTTAGGGTACTGAGAGGGAAGAGTACTGCTCCAGCATTCGCCTCGTAGATTTCAACCCAATGCTAGCATTATGCGGTGGTTATCCAATACTTTTCAGTGTGCATGATAGCTTTGTTTAGAAACGTCTGAACGTGACTTTGAAAATGGGTACGCAGGATATAAGAAAGGCCGCTTTTGTTAATCAGTTACGTACATAGATTATCGGACCAAAACGTTTACATACATTTTCACTGTTAAAAAGATACACTATAAATAGAACCGAAGAACGTAGTCAATCAATGACTATACCGTCTAAAGTTGATTTGCGATCTTCATCAACAACTTTGAAAAGAAAATTGTAAAATCGATACCATTAATATTTCGTACCTGGTGGCGCACGCCAAAATTTCGGCAAATATTTACGTTTGCATTATAGCGGAGCAAATTTAAATTTTATTAATAAATCAAATTTCCATTATGATTTATGAATGTCACGATTAGTAATTTTGAAGCTCCATTAGACACGATTCTAAACTATCATAAGAAACTATCAAACAGTGATGTTTATATTTGGAACGCCCTGAAAGTAAACAGTTTGCTAGCGAACAATAGGCTTTACGGCATGTAGTCAATTTTAGGATAATATAGACGACATTCGTCAAAATGAATGATAATGAAGAACAAACATGCGATAGTCAATCTTTTGAAAGTCGATAGGGAAGTGTTGCTTTACAGTGATGTAAAAACAAGGATAGGACAGCAATAAATAATGCTTACGTCTCATATTGATAGACGCAGTCGAGTGAAACATTGACGTAATGTTTGTACAATTATGTTACCTTGAAGGAAAAATAGATGCCATTGGGTCTGTGATAAAAATGATTGTTTTTCCATGTTATATCATAAGACATAGCTGTTATAATTTAACAGGTACTTTGCATACGAATATCACTGCTTACTTTCCTACACATGGACGAGAATTGAGTGCACGTCTCTTCATTCAAGAATATCTCTTTCCATGTGTAGGAAAGAAAGTAAGCAGTGATATTCGTATGCAAAGTACCTGTTAGATTATAAAAGTTATGCGCTATTCATGCTTAAATGCAGCATAGGGAAAGAAATAGGTTTATCTACAAACTTTTATTTCTCCTGCAAGGATATGTGAGAAATGAACTGAGGCAATTTGAAACTTGAGCCAATCGTTTTGAAGTATTGTCTTAATATGCAGAACCCAATGGATTACCTCTTTGCATTATTCCTGTTAAAAGATCTACTTTTGCTCCTCACCACCCACAATACACAATATTACAAAAATGTATTTCTATACCTACCTATATCAGTTTTCTTCGCTGCTTTGTGATTAATATACCTACTCTCCATGAAACTGCAGAAAACACGCTAGCCGGCTACGATGTCAATTATGTTAAATCGAAAACGTCAGGAATCGGAAGTGAAACTATTTTCTTTTAATCGAATAACTAACAAAGCCTGCACGCCATGTCTCAATCAATATCAAATCACATTTGGCTTCGGTGTGACAATAAATTAGGTAAGACGAAACTACACCACAGAACATCAACAGGATTAATGCTTTTTTGTTATTGAGCTCAATTAACAACACTAGCCGAAGATTATTTCTATACATTTTTTCTATTACTAACTATTTATTATGAGTAATATTCGTTGATTTTCTGTTAGTGACTCGAATGAGAAAAACTGTTAGTTTCTTCGAAATGTCATATGCTATCTATTCTATTCACACGGGGAGCACCTTAGCAACCAGATTCAGATCCCGTTCCTTTGAATAAAGGATGGGACCCTGTTTAGCGTAAGTTGCTTCACTCTCACCCGGCTCCAGATAACTGTCGCTAAGGACCTGATGTCTGTCTCTGATCAAAGCGTCAGAGTAACAGACCACATGCTCGGTAGTCATCTGCCTCGCCACAGACTCTGCATCTGGGCTCTCCTACAAGCCAAATGTTGTGCTGGTGCCCCGTAAGGACACCTGCGATTTTTCTAATCTTGCTACTATTCAGTTTTATAAGCTTAGAAGACCCAGATTTGCCAAGGGGCCTTGTTAAAAAGGCGCTTGATTGTCTGAGTCTCTGAGTCTGGTTGTCAGTGACAATATGTATACAGCCTGTTTCAGGTAAACAGTTACCTAAACCTATTCAGGCTTACATTAATAAATTGAATCTGAAAATTTGCATACCAACATATTTTTCCTTGATCCAGCGAAAGAAACACAAAGCGTTTCAGTAGTCATGGAACAATGGACTAAGCAACAACGGTCGTTTGCCGTGAAAGCATTCTACCGAAGTGGTAGCTATGTAGCCGCTCAGCGTCGTTTCCAGGCGCATTTTCAAATTAATCGTTATAGGTCGGTGCCTTAAGAGTAAAGTGTACGAAGAAGACCTCACACCATTCGTGATCTCAAAGCACAAATCCAGCGGGAAATTGAGAGAATTCCTCAAGATATGCTCCGTGATAGACAACTTCTGAAATCGCCTGCGAGCATGCCGTGATTGAGAAGGACGCCATCTTGCTAATGTTATTTTCAAAAAATGAACATGTGTTGTTTCTTAAATGGTTTTTAACGTAGAATACGATCATATAAATAAAATTTTGATATCTGCATCCGTGTTTATTTTACATACATTTAAAAAATGCCTATGAGCCTATGACTGTTGACTTGAATTTCAAAAATTATTCCAAAATCTACAGTACTGAGTTGATGCTGATGATGATTATTTTTGTTTTAATGAATATATTGAGAGGTTCCACCTTGTATAAGTGTACATACAACGTAAGACGATGCACACATTTTTGAGAGCTGAAAGTTGTCTCCGACGTCTCTAGCAAAAACCAGGAAACAGGGCAAATTTCTTTATTATTTTATTTGTGTTTTGTT